CGAGCGCGCGGCCGCGCAACGTCATCGCCCGCGCCCCTCCTTCCCCGCCGTGTGCTCGCGCCTGCAGGGTTCGCGCGGAGAGCGGTCCGGCCGTCCACTCCGTGGTGCCGTAGGCCTCCCCGATCCACGCCGTCGGCCCCGCGGCGGAGCCCCGCGCGACCTCCCGCACCGCCTCACATCGCCGGCGGAAGTCATCCAACACCGCCCCCCCGGCGAGCCCGCACTCCCGGGAGAGCTGCTTGCGGAAGAAATGAAACATCTGGATGTCGGTGAGGTGCCCGCGGCAGAGGAGCTGCTCCACGAGATCGCGCCGCACGCGAAGGAAATGACTCGGTCGCATCGGTTGGATCGCTTAATAGGGTACTCGGGACTGTTGAGCCAGCCCAATGGAGAAATATAGATATATCAATATAGATATAGATATAGTTATAGATATATATATCTACACACACAGAGAGAGAGTATTATAGACCCTTGGGGTTTACTCTTTCCCTGCTCAATCACTCTAACTTGGTAGTAAACACGAATAGATAGGAACCCGTACAAACAATTCGTAATGGGGTTCAAAACTTCTTTGGAAATGAGTAGGAAAAAATGCAAGGAAGAATAAGAGTGTAGAAGTCCGATGATTCTCGGGAAGCCATGGGGATTCGTTGATCCTTCCGTTCTTTTCAACGGCCTACACACCCACACACGAGGGTGCATATCCTGGGGAGAGTGCATAGCAGGTGAACTAATTCTATTGGTGTGTCACCGCTTAGTCACTTACTCCCCCACGCATCCCTAGTTTTTGATACAGCTTAAGAATGTATTATGACATAGCACATGGTTTGTTTCTCAATAATTAAGCGAACAATCTTGCTATGATAAAAACTAAAAATAAGAACTGCAATAGCGACAATGTACTTATAAACCGCATTTAATTTCCTGCAAGATATAAGCAAAGCGTCTGGTAAGTGATTATCTGTCCCGTGACTGTTCATGAATAATTGTCTCCTTAAGAAGAAAAAAAGGGCCAACAAAAATAAAGTATCCGTGTTTATGGTTACGTTGACAACGAAAGCATGCAACGCAAAAGCAATTCAATAAAAAAAGACCCAACCCTCAAATATCATCTGTGAGGTTTAGCTTAACCTTTCCATCGGTGGTATTATCAAAGGCTGGTTGGCCAAGGTATGGGCAGCCGGCGCACCGAAAGGCGTCCCCCCTTGCGCAATTTCCGCAGCCACCCGTTGGTACAAACGGCATGCCGCTAATCCCTTCCGGCGGAAGCTTACCCTCCGCCTCGAGCTTCCTCTCCAACGCCGCGCGGCCGCACACGCAATTCTTGCAAGCCCTTCGCCTCGTGGTGCAGTCGGAACCTTTGGTGGCCTCCTTAAGGATGCGGTCCTCCTCCGTGAAAAGCTCATCCTCGTCGACGATGAGTTGACGAGTCTTTAAGCTAAAGGCCTGCGTGCTCACGGACATCGGGGTTAGGGGTACAATAAGTGAAAATAAATTAAACGATCGATCCAATGCTGCCCTTCTTCAAAACAGCTTAAAGAGAAGAACAAAAACTCAAAGATGCAAAAATTGTAATTAGAATACGAATTCTTTTTGAAGCTAAGATTTTCGCGCGCTGGAATAGGGTGAGTTTGCTAAATTTTGTGGAAGAGTTAATCAGGGCAATGCTAGGATGATGAAGAATAAATGTTGGAGAGAATAAGACAAAAGAAAAACGGACATGGGGTCTAAATCCAGTTTGTAACAGAAAAAAAAGAATGAGCATTATATTTAATAAAAAAAAATACGAGGCGAATCATTATGAAGACGCATTCAAAACGGGACGTCTTTATTTCCGAAATTCTACCCACCCCATATTTATCAACACGGTGGTGATAAAATTTTAGGAAGAAGGCTTATCTTACACAGCCGTTGAAGAGGAAAAGCAATCAATAAAATGCATGCAAAGGCGTACTTCTGCATAAAATTTAATTTTGTTAAACACTTTTATGCTATATAAAGACGTGTCGTCATCACCGCCTAACAGTATTCTCTTATGACTGGCTAAACATTTTAGCCCGCGGCGAACACTTTGGCTGCCCTCATCCGCCGAAGGCCGCTACGTAAAGTTAATCAGACCAAGAACAACAAAAAACATGATGTTATTAATCGTAAGGACAACAATGATATTAAGATAAGTTAGCAACCAAGAACAACGTTGAGGAACCGTTATCGTGTAACTGTGGTAGCCATCTTAAATACTTCCCAGACTTGATAAACGCTTCCCTACGTGTGCACCCTACTCTACGTCTTTATGGCTATCGAGAATCAGAAAGCAGGCCCTCTTCGAGTGGTGGGGTGGAGATCTCATCCTCATGATCGCTGGGGATCGTTTCGGAGGGGATCCCCATTCGTATTTCGGACCCAAGACCGCCACAGCCCGGCGCCCAGTCCAGCACCTTCTCCCCCGCACCCTGTGTGAGCGCATATGGCGCCGTCTGGAGGCTGTTGTGGCGGTAGTACCAACGCAGCTGGCACCACGACGTTGAACCGGCGCCGCGGAGTGGCAACAACTTCCAGATGGGCCTCTTCACACGACAACGCGCGAGGTCGCCCGCACGGAGCGGCGGGCTCGCCATCTCCCCCCCTGTCAATGGGTCGCACGTGGTCGGCTCCTCCAGGAGCATCTCCGCGCCCTCGATGGGGGTGTTGGGCGGCACCACCGGCAGCCCATGGGCCCACAACGGGCCCTGACGCAGGGGGGGGTCCCAACGGCTGGCGCGCTCGTGGACATGCGGGCCGCGGCCCACGACGTAGGCGGCGGGGTGGCGGTCGGCGGACACGCGCAGGTGCGTGTCCCAGTGGGACAGCGAAGCCTCCCCTTTATGGGACAGGGCAGCCTCTTGATCGGACAACGGGACCCACCGCCAGCGCCGCTGGATCAGCCCAAGCTCCTGGTAGAGGTCCACGATTAGCTGAGCGCAGGAGACCTCGTGGAGGGCGTCCTGCCGGCGAATCGCCAGGTAGAGGCGGGGCGAGACAAAGGCAAGGGGGTACACAAGGGAGCAAATCAGCGGGCGCCCCTCGTTGCGCTCCGCAAAGCCGCGAATCGCGCGCAGCATCGCCGGCGTGCGCGGGAGGTCCTCCTGAGCGCAGCGCTCGCCGTCCTTGTCCTCGTCGTTGGTCTCGCTCTCCCGTTTGAGACGACGTACGGCGAAGTAGTGATAGGAAGGTTTGCCGTCTTCGTCGACCGAGCACAGCCGCTTCGTCGCCTCGACTCGTTGGACGGCATTGTAATGGACTTTGCCATTAATATCGGGAACGTGGCAATCGGTGTTATCCATCCCCTCAAGGATGATGGCCCCGCGCTTTACACGAGCCTGCCGCCGCCGTTGCCCCGCCTCCTGCTCATCCCTAAGGAGAGCCTCCACTGCGTTCCTCGCGGGCGGTTTCGAGACGTCGTACCCGGCTGCCGCGGGCGACTTTGCGAGCTTCCCATCCCCAGCATCGGGCGTGGCTCCATCGTCGTCGGACAAAATGGCAGACTCGGTAACTACCGCAACGTGTGAGTACCGCAGCGCGGCCGGGTGCAGCATGGAGTAGATGAACTGCCCTGTTACGATCATCCAGCTCAATGGCGACGTACCTCTCATGAGGAGGATATCCCCGGGCTTCAGACCGGGCTCCACATCCCGCCAGTCCTCGACAAGGTAATCCTCAGTCGGATGGTAGAGGCTGTAAATTGTGGGCTGGTGCAGCCTATGGATGGCTACGCAAAGGGAAATATAACTGACGCCTGTGAACACACCGCAGCCACAGAAAAGGAAAAACTTACGAAGAGGGGGTTGCGCTTTGAACCTGCGCCAGCACCGTCTCAAAATGCCAGGGCCGCGCGTCCGGTAGTGCATATTGCCGCATTTTAAGCCCATTTCATAGTGTGACAGAACAATTCGACACACTCGGAGCATTCTAATTGCGTTTCTTATTTATTATGAAGTACTTTTGGGAGGTTGTTGCAATTCTTTCCCTTTCCCTCCAGTTGAATTGTAGAATAACACCTTTGACTGTTACCTACCACCAACACTGAGCTTGATGAAAAAATTCAAGAAAAAAAATATGAAAGGAGAAAAAATAGGTGCAATCAGGAAGCCGACACTGCAGGTTGCATGCATTAAATTAAACTTTTGAAGGGAAATTAGAAAAAAATTATCATCACAACGGGCCGTATAGCAAGATCACTTAAATAACTAAGCAATTAGAAGGAGTAAAGTACAAAAAATTAGATAATGAGCTAATGAATCCTTGGTCCATGAAAGTAGTTGAGTTGTCATGCGTATATGTATATATATGTATATAGATGTATATAGATGTATATATATATATATATATATATAATGTGTGTGTGTGTGCTTGAGCGTCGAAGACGCTAAATGGAAAAAGTCACTAAACTACTATTTAATTTCCTTTTTTCTTTTTTTTTTTTGCATGGGTAATGGAAAAGAATAATCATTTTACTGATTGAAACACATGTTTCTTTCTGACACGTTTTCGGCAAACTTACTCTCCGCTTTCATCCCTATGTTAAGTGAAAGAAAGCGTCCACGACACCTTCAATAAAAAGAATAGAAAAAGAAAAAAATGACTGATGTATATTAAGTGTCAACAAATAATTTGAAAAATAACAACAATAGTACGCGTCGGAAATACATTGCAAATCAACGACAAGGCTATCGGAGGCAAAAGTAAAGAACCATGTGGAAAGGCAAATAAACAATTTAAATAAAGGAAATGGAGAGTTGACAATATTCTCTACATAATGCAACCCATCCAACTCATTCATCACTATAGTACAACAAATGGGAAGCCCTTCGTCTAAAAAACGGACAAATAAATAAAGGGAAAAAGCGGGAGATGTATAATGGTTATGACGTCAGCGAGGTAACGACATTGAACAAACGACTTTCCCGATAAAAAGAAACGGTTTTCCGGGATGAAAGTGCTGAGGGTATTCTGACGATGACAACGGAGATGAGGAGGAGAGGGAGGAACGTTGTGAGGCCCACTTCAACTTGTTTGCTCACATTGTTTCTGGCTACGTAATTCTTAATCATTTGCATATTATTTTGAAAGACACTAATAAATCCACGGCATAAAAAAAATGGAAAAGATCAACATAGACTAGCTTAATAAAAAGAAACTGCTCTACCAAGATAGCACTTAAGATAATTGCTTTTCTTTTAAAAATTCTAGATTAATGAATGTATACGATTGGGTAAGCATAAACTACAAAACAAGATCAACTAGTGTTTCAGCAGAAAAAAAAACATAAAAAATCATTCAATCGAATCTTACCCATAAGGGAAAGGGGGAGAGAAGGGGGGAACAATTTATCCGCACCCCACTCTCCACTCCCGCGCGACTTACATATCGTACCTTTACCCCTTTTTATTTAATAAACGTCTATCATCCCCGAAACTCGGTTGGAGAGACTCCAGCGTTGTCAGGGTTGTTAGTGGTGTTCACAGCGGCGGCGGCTCGTTTCGCGGCCAAGTACTCTTCCTTAAACTTGTTAGATGGCATCGGAATACGACTACGGAGGTATTCCTTGAGATAGAAAGGTCGGCTCCACTGCCGGAAGAAGGGATGCTCCAGCAGCTCCCCCGCGGTTGGCCGCTGCGACGCTACAGGCAGGGTCGCCAGCCTTATAAAGTCCTGAAAGACAGGGCTGAGTGGTATCTTTCGGCGAAGGTTGAACCTCGTGAAGTCGATGGGGCGCCCCATACGTTGCATCCGGTCGAAATCGTCGACGCAGCCCTCTAAGTCGTATGGGTACTCCCCAACGGCGAACTCCGCCAGTGTAACCCCGACCGCCCAGATATCGCATGGCTTCCCATGCGGCTCACCGCGCTGACGCTCCGGACTCATGTAAAGCGTCGTACCGGAACAAAGAATATCACCCTCTTCCTCCTCGTCGTCGTCGTTGTTGCCGCGGGGGAAATACGACGTACTGTGCTCCCCTCTGCGGTGGCGCTCCTCCCCCCCCTCGTCCTCGCCGTGCGCGCCGCCTCCTCCATTGGAATCGGAGGAGGCGGTGGAGGAGGCATCCAGCATATCCATCCCATCGTTTTCACTGCAGTCGCCCTCCCCCTTTCCCTCGCCCGCGTCCATGCTGAGGTCGGAACCGATGCTTGACAAGCTCGAGCGTCGCCTAAGCTCTTGACTGCCGGAGAAGGAGCGGCCCGCCGCGGGGGTGGGGGGCGCGGCCGACGGCGCCGCTTTTCGCGCCCGTCGTGGTTGACTCCAGTGGTGGCGGTTCGCGATGCCCATCCCGGTGCTATCGCAGCGCTGCGAGAGCCCGAAGTCGCTCAGCTTCACGACGCCATGCTCGTTCACCAAGACGTTACCGAGTTTGATATCGCGATGAATGTAACCCCGCTCGTGCATATCCCGCACGCCTCGCAACAGCTGCTCGCCGAAGACGGCGACGACGCGCTCCGCGATCCCGAAGGCCTCCTCGATGCAGCCGCTCCCGTCCGTATCCAACGGCGCGGCCTCGTCCTCGGTGCCGGCGTTGCTGCGCACCGACTCGTCATCCCAGGGCTCCCGCGCGGGTTTAAAACGCCGCCCGCCGCCCCCGCCGCACGGCGAGCCCGCCGTCGACGAGTGCATCGCGTCATCGTAGTACGGGAAGTCCATGCTGCCGTTCGTCGGCGCGGGGGAGTGGGCGGCCGACCACGCCACCCCGGAGCGCGCGCGGGATCGACTCTCCTCCAGCAGCGGGACCGGGGTTTCGACCTTCCCGGGGCCGAAGGGCCGCGTGGCGGGGCGGAAAAGGGGCCCCTCCGGGCCCTCGACGAGCCTCCCCCCATCCGACGCGACCCGGTCGCTCGCGTCGGCGTTCATCTGGGAGAGGTTCGCTGCGGATTCGGTCGGGGTGAGGAGGCGGCGTCGGTACTGCTGTCGCTCCAACTCCGACCGCGAGTACTCCTGCAGGCACTTCGCGACGCGGTTCAGGCTGCCGTAGTGCATGAACTCCATCACGATATCCAGCGTCGCGCTCTCGTGTAGGTAGAACGCGTTGTAGACCTTCACCATGAAAGGGCTTCGGTAGGTCAGGTGGAGCACCTGCAGCTCGCGGGTGACGATGTGCTGGAGCTGCCGCACCCGGCCGCATCCGGAGCTGAACTTCAGATAATTCGCCGCCTCGCCGTGTTCGACGAGAATGTCAAGGCATAGCAAGGAGAGGTCGATGCGTTTCACCGCCAGGCGTCGCCCAGTGGGCAGGTGAATCGCCACGTACACGGAGGCCGAGGCGCCCTCGCCAATCTTCATCTTCACGTCGAGGTCCGTGTATCGCACGACATTCGGCAGCGGCGCGGTGGCACCCCCGTACGCGTCCGTCTGCCTGCGGAGGGCATCGATGTAGGGCAGCAAAAGGCTGGTGCCGCCGTTCTCCTCCACATTCCCGTCGACGGAGCGGTAATGGGTAGAAGAGGCGTGCGGTGGCATGAGGCCCTCCACCACACTGCTCTGGTAGCTGCCATACCCAATGTTGGGGTGGGCCGACGTGTGGGGATACCTTGTCATGCTCGTGGCCGAAGTTGGTACGCGGCCACTTCCCGCGCCCTTCAACCATGGGGAGTTCAAACCATGGCTAATCACGGGCCTGTGGCCCGCAAGAGGGTGATGGGGGACGAGTATGGATGAGGAACTGATGTCCTCCTCGCGCACGGCACGCAGCAAGCGACGTTGATTCCGAAGCTTCCGCGTGCTGGTGCCCCCTTCATGAGTGGGGTTGGCGCTGGGGAAGCGGGCATCATCAAACGTGTAGGTGATCGGGCTGTAGAGGGTGTCCATACTCGCGGAAAAAAGTGTAAAGGAGGTCGCAGGGTGGGTGGTGGTGCTATTGGTATGGTGGAGGTGTGCAGTATGGGGCTGCCCACCACGCGCAGCCAACAGCGAGGGGCCCATACTAATCGGATGGCAAAAACTGTTGTTCACACTATCCGCGAGAGTGTAGGCACTGCGGGTCGTACGCAATAGCGGTTGCTTCAGGATCTCCCCACCGGGGGGTCGATGATAATAGCCTGAATTCGCTGCATGGGGGGTATTCTTCACCTGTATAGGCGAATAGGGGACATGCTTAATTAGGTGTCCGTCACACACAACGGACGCGCGCGGCATGCATGAATGCCACGACCCCTCCGACGGGGTAAGTGACGAAGCGGGCAGGTGGTGCGGCGTCCCCCTCGTCCCGGAGGCCCCTGCCGCCTGAATCGCCGCGCCGGCGGCGGGATCCGCGGCGCCGACCTCGTCGATCCGCCGCGGGTTCAGCAGGAGGAAATTCCGAACCGTCAGGCAGCCCTCCGCGGAGACCCGGAACATCCCGCCCGCGACAAGCGTCGTGCCGTCCCGCGAGGGCCGCACCAACGCGCGCCGCCGCCGGGCCGCCGCGCGGGCCAAATCGCCTCGCCGACGGGACACAACGGCCTGACACGACTGAGGGGAGCCGCCTGACACAACGGCCTGAC